GACTTTGGCCCCCTCGTGCTAGGGACTCAAGATCTGGCTCCTCATACGGTGACATTCACCCCTCGGTCTACGACCCTCCAGGCGTTTACGCCATCGCTGGAGACTTGGGTCCGCATGCGTCATTGACCCTTCATGCAGGGAGCGCCCCTCATCATTCGACCCCATGCGCTGCCCCCTCATGCCAGGGCTTTGGCTCTTAAATTATTGACCCCTCACGCAGGGGCCGCCCCCTCGGACGTTGCTCCCCGTCGCCATGGGTTCGACAAACTAGCTGATGAGTTGACCCACACCTCTCAGCGTTGTCCCCTCATGGGATGCAATTGGCATTCGGATTGTATTCCGGTTCGCTTCTTGCCTCCACAGTCTGCTGCCCCATCCTCCTTCGCCACGTTGTCACCTTGGTGTGCTTGTTCTAGCCAGCGTATCCTGCTGCCCCGCAAAAGCGTTCTGCCCGCCATTTCTACCTCGTCCTGCGCATCTTGATACTAATGGTTAAACCATGTTACGACCACAAGGTGCGCGGACTGCGCATACCACCCGCTAGGGGCCCACTCCCTCGTATAGGTCATCTCACGCGCTGGCCTGCCATTCTGGGTCTATTGCCCGCCACGCGCTGACCCCATCGCTGAAGCTCTGACCCCTCATGCGTCGATCCCTCCTGCCGTGACGCGGGCCCTCATGCGTTGATCCCTGACGGGAACTACGACCCGTCAAGCATTGACCCCCCTGCATGTTTGGGTTCGGACCCAGCACGCGTCGACCCCTTCATGTTGGGGCTGTGCCCTCACATACGTAGATGTAACACTGCACCGACCCTGCAGACATGCTGCAGCGGATTTGTGAATGGATTTCTGCCAATGCAAAACCCCGAAAAGGCAATCGAAACACGAAGTGCATTTCGCGTGGATATTTGTTTAGTCTTCACTCGTGGACAACAACACATCCGCGCGAAATTCACCTCGAAATCCCGAACGAAATTCTCCAGGACACTCCGGGCCCATCCGATCGTTTTCCGAACGACGTCCGCTCTGCGATGTTGGCACCATGACGTACGTAGATGCAGGATCCAGCCACCCTCAAAAGCTGTGTTATCCTCGCGTTTCCCTTGCGGGGGCTTACTTCTATCCACCCCCCTGCTCTGGCGCTCGGCCTCTTTCCTTCCGGGGCGTGCACGCGCCGCTCATCCCCGTGCTCACACCTCGCTGCCTCTCGCTCCTGCCTCCCCACTCCGCCCTTCAGCCCCTCCCTCTGCTTCTCCTCCTTCTCCTTCTCCTCCTCCTTCTCCTCCTCCTCCTCTACACCCTCCTCCTCCTCCTCCTCGTCCTCCTCCTCCTCCTCCTCCTCTTCCTCTCTTCTCCTCTCTTCTCCTCTCTTCTCCTCTCTCCCCTCATGCTGGCCAGGGGGCGATCAGCGCCGCGCGCGGCCCCGCACCCGTCTTTTTTCTTCCTGGCAGTCTCTCTCTGGCCGTGCCGCCTCTCCCCGGACGCTCGCTCGCGACCCTCCCGTCCCCAACTTCCAGGAAGGGCCAGGGAGGATCAGATGCCACGTTCTCGGAACCTTCCTGGGGCCACTCGCCCCACTCCCGCGTCGGTGCCGCGTCGAGCGTTCGTCGGCTCGAGTCGAACCAGAGCAGAACTTGAGTCGAGCTAGAGTCGAACTGGAGTCAAATCACATTCGAAACAGAGTCAAACGAACAAATCCATCGAAAGGTCCCCAGGAAGGTCCCCCAAACGGACATATAAGGAGGATGAGGAGAATGAGGAGGAGAAGGAGGAGGAGAAGGATTAGGAGGAGGGGAAGAAAGACCAGTGCAGGATAAGAGTAGGCACGCTCGCGCCATATCTGACATCCGACCCCTTCCGCATATCCCTTCCCTCTGCGCTGTATGTATCCCAATCGGCCGACTGGGTTATCCTAGAGGACATTGATGCCTCAATAGCGGCTGCAGGACTTGCACCATCGTCGGCTGCGCAATCGGAGAGGGGCGCGTTTTAACCAGACGAAGGAAAATCAGCAGGAGGAGTCGGACGAGCAGGAGGTGGAAGAGGGGAGGGTGGAGGCGGAGGAAAGGACGATCGAAAAGGAGGAGTAGGAGGAGGAGGATCTGGCGGTCGACAGCTGAGAACGGCTGCCTCGGGCGCAGCCGGACGAGAGGGGCATCCCCTGGCCCTCCCAGGGCCCACCCCTGGCGGCGAGACGCAGCCAATGGACCCCTCGTCGGGCGGGTGGCAACGGGGGGTGGCCCAAATGGGGGGTGAAGAACAGGGCCCCTTTAGGAGAGCCCGCGGGTGCCCAAGAGGGGCCCTGCTCCTCCTGCTTCTGCTCCTGCTCCTCCTTCTCCTCCTCCTTCTCCTCCTCCTCCTCCTCCAGCCATGTTCTTCACCCCGCATTTGAAGTCACCGCCCATGACCACCCGCCCGACCATGGGGGGCCCGAGAACCGGTAGCCATGTCTCGAACGCTGCTGCACCCGTGCGACGCCAGCGCTGCAGCCGATGAGGTTAAGCTCGCACTGACCCTGAGATGTGGCTAAAAGCAGCAGCGGGAAAGCCACTATTGAAGGACCGATGCCGCTCAGACCCTCCAAACAAACACGTACACCATGCCAGCGATTGAATTCCTGTGTGGGACTATGCGCGAGGCGGGCGAGGACACGCTGGAACATTGTCAGGGCAGGAAGGAGAGTAGCACTCACATTCCCATCTAGTGGAGAGAGGAGGCTCAGAGGAAGGACAAGAAGGAGGATCTAAAGGATGGGGCGCTGAATTCGAGGAGTGTACGAACAAAAGCAACAGAGGATGAGGGGGAGGGACAGGAGGAGTGAAATAGCCTACAGAGGGAAGGGCAGGGAAGGTCAGATAACAATTCGTGTTGCAGCTCATGGACGAGGATCTTCATTCACACTTGGGACGGGCTGTCGCCAAGGAGGAGGAGGCAGGGAAGCAAGATTGGAGGGGTCGGAGGGAGACGTCGAGGATGCAAGATGAGGAAGAGCAGGAAGAACTCTGCTCCTCCTCCACATCCTCCTTACCTGGCTCATACCCACACTTCCTCCACCACGTCACATCCTTCTCAGCCTCCGCCGCCTCTTCCTCTTCACTTTACGACATTTCGAGGTTGTGGTCGCGGTCTTGGTCGTCGTCATCATGATCAGCAGCAGCATCAGCATCATCGTCATCATCATCGTCATCATCAACCTCAGCATCGACATCACCATCAGCATCATCATCATCATCATCATCATCGCCATCACAATCCTCGCCTTCATCATCATCAGCAGCATCATCGCCATCAGAAACGTCAGCATCATCATCACCCTCAGCATCCTCAGCATCACCAGCACCATCACCAGCACTATCATCACTACCACCGCCATCATCATTGCCACCACCTCAATCACCAGCAACGTTACATCATAATCATCGTCACCATACTAAATGCCATCATCACCACCACCAGCGGTATCACAATCAGCATCACCATCAGCATCACCATCAACGTCATCATACTCATCATCATCCTCAGATCCATCGTCACCGTCATCATCACCATCAGCAACATCATCATTATCGTCAACATCAACATCAGTATCGTCGTCATTGCCGCCATAATCAGCATCAACATTGTCCTGATACATATCATTATCGCATAGTCAGCGTCAACAGTAATCCCAACATAATCATAGTCAACCTAATCATAGTCAGCATCAGCATCATCATGGTCAGTCGCATTATCATCACCATCAGCATCATCATCATCGTCATCATCATCATCATCACCATCACCATCACCATCACCATCACCATCATCATCATCATCATCATCATCATCATCATCATCACCCTCATCAACGTCATCATCATCAGAGCATCACCGTCATCTCCGTCAGCATCGGCATCATCTGACCACTATCATCACCATCACCATCCTAATCGCAAACATCACCATCAGCAGCCGACTCTTCATCCTCATCATCATCATCGCCAGCCTAATATTATTTTTCTCTATCATCATCATGTTTTACAACATCATCCTCATTTTCCTCCTCATCATCATCATCCGAATCCTCATCATCAACGATATCATCATCAACACGGCCACCACGACCATCAGCATCAGCGTCAAATCATCATCATGATCAGCATCATCACCATCATCAGCGTCATCATCAACATCAGCATCATCATCATCCGCATCAGCACCATCATTCTCATTATCATCGTCTTCATCGTCGGCGTGAGCATCATCGTCATCGTCATTGGCATCGTCACATTGCTCATCAACATCATTCTCGTCTCCTCATGCTCCTCCTGGTCACCATCTGGTCGTCGTCCGCATCCTTCACCGTCACATCGTCCCCCCTGTCCTCCTCCCATCCACCGTCGTCCTCTCATCCTTCTCCTCACCCTCACATCCTCCACCTCCTCATGGTACGCCGCCTTCTTTTCTCAGCATGTTCTCACCCTCTTCAGCGTCCCCCTCGTCTTCACCTCCTCCTCCTCCTCCACCTCCTCCTCCTCCTCCTCCTCCGCAACTTCCTCACCTCCACGAGGCCCCCGAATTGTGGTCGTCCATCCCATCCTCTTCCACCTCCTCCTCCTCCGCCTCCTCCCCCCTCCCCGTGCCGTGCCACTGCTGCTCGACACGCCTCTGGGGGAGCCGGCCGGGGGCGCACGGCGCGCCACTCAGGGCGTGAGATGCCACGCCCGACGAGCACCCCAGCCGAGCCCCCCAGTGGAGTGAGCAGCGGGGCGAGAGCGGCAAGTGACGAACGAACAACACACACCCATACCCATAGGGGGGTCGTTGGGAGGAGGACTGGCTATGGGTATGGGTGCGGGTTGTCAGACCCTGGGGAACGCTCCCCTTCGAGCGGGGGCCCCCATCCGACAACACGCACCCGTAGCCCTCTCCGACCCCCCTATGGGTATGGGTGTGTGTTGTTGGTTCGCCAGCAAGGGGCCAGCCGGTGTGCTGGCCTCCAGGACACTGCCACGCGGCGATGCTGGCGGCCCTGCTCTCCATCCAGACCAGCACACCCGAGGTGCTGACCTCCAGTACACAGCCCGGCGGCAACGCTGGCAGTCCTGCTCGCCCTCCACACGTGTGCGCAAGAGGCGCTCACATTCCAGTCGCAACCTGGTGACTCGGCAGGCGGGCATGAACATATACCCCAGTATCGAGGTACCGACCTCAAGTAAACAGACCGGCGGCAATGCCAGCGGTCCTGCGCATTCTCTCGACAATTCCACAACTCAGGTACTGACCTCCACGACACAGCCCGGCGGAATTTCCAGCGGTCCTGCCTCCACTTGCCCAAAGGAGGTACGGCCCCGCTGCACCGTCACTGTGCCTACACCGCCACTGTGCCTGCACGAGGCACTGCGGGGAGGTGCGAGCTGGGCTGAACAACCCGTCGACGAACAGGCGTTGGCATCCGTGTACCAGCTGACCTCTGGCCTACTCTGGTGGCCCCAAGTCGGCCACAGCCGTTGCAGGCGCGGCAACCCCACACTAACGCCAATGACCTCTGCTCCCGTCCTCCCCCCGCTTCTCCCCCCTTCCTCGTCCCACGCACGTGCATACGGCACTTCGTGGGATGGCTGCGGCCAGCACGCCTCACTGCACCACCACTGTGCCCGCATGGGGCACTGTGGGGAGGTGCGCGCTGGGCTGCGCACATTGGCATCCCTGTACGTACCAGCTTCCATCTGGCCTGCGTAGGTGGCCCCGAGTCGTCGGCAACAGCCGTTGTAGGCGCGGCAAGCCCACACGAACCAAGGACTTCTGCTCCCGTCCTCCCTCCTCCTTCCCCCTCTCCGCCCCCCCCCCCACGCACCTGCTTATGACACTTCGCGCGATGGCTGTGGCCAACACGCCTCGCTGCACTGCCACTTCGCCTCCACGAGGCGCTCTGGGGAGGTGCGGCTGGGCTGAGCAACCCCTGTCGATGAAGAGGCGCTGGCATCCGTGTGCCAGCTCACCCCTGACCTGCTCAGGTGGCTCCAGATCGGTCACAGCCGTGGCAAGCGCGGCAAGCCCACACCAACGCCAATCACCTCTGCTCACGTCCTCCACCCTCCCCTCTTCCTCTCCCCCTATCCCTGCTTCCTCCCCCCACGCACTTGCTCATGACACTTGGCGCGGTGGCTTTGGCCAGCACGCCTCACCGCGCCTCCACTGTGCCTGCACGAGGCACTGCCCCCGAGGAGACGGACGCTGCATGGGAGCGACAAATTCCCCGCAGATGCGGATGAGAGTGAGGGGACGGTGGGGACGTCGGCAGTGTGCGAGACTCTGGGGAAGCCCGCAGCAGGCGCCTAAGTTTCACAAATTATACACCGAGTCCGCCGCAGGTGCCGATCTTCTCGGTAGACCAATGTGGGTAGGTCGCGGGCGGGTCGCAAATGGGTCGCGGGTGGGTCGCGACATATCTATATCTACATATATATATATACACACTCAGTTGTGCGCGCCTTCGCTGTGCGCAGTGGCGGCTGAAAACGCAGCTTCATGGTCACGCCCCTGCCCCCGCGCTGCACTTCCTCGCGGCGGCGGCGCACTCGCCGCCGCAGGCCGCGCTCTGGCCCAAGCCGCCCACGGCGGCAACACGACGCAAGCGCCGGCCAACCCGACGGCGAAACGGAAACCGAGCGACACAGACAGGCCGCAAGAGGAGCCCAGAAGGGCGCAGCGAGGCAACAGCGGCAATGCAGCTGGCCGAGCCGAACCAGCCGAACGCAGCGGACTGCGACGCAGCCGATAAAATCAGACCGCCCGCAGTGCCACCCCGACTAGGCCTTGCGTCGATCGATCACAGTGCCACAGTAGCCGATCGGATAAAGCCATGTGGCTTCAGTCACGTCGGCACTCATAGTGCTGGATCAATCCCATGTCGATCGGCCTTGCCTGCCCCACATGGTGCCCTGCACGCAACCGATTGGATCAGACCGCCCGCAGTGCCACTCCGAATAGGCCTTGTGTCGATCGATCACAGTGCCACAATAACTGGGGAAAGCAAAAAGCACCGATACCGCTGCCCCCCGGACCTCTCGCGGGGTGCGTTCTAATCAGGATTTCGAGGCGAATCCAGCGGTGGCGACGACGGCCTCCCAGGAGGCCGAAAAAGCGGGAAACGGGCGAAGGGTAGCCGTATGGGTACCTTTTCCTTCTCCGAATCATGTGGCTTAATCCATGCTGACATTCATAGTGCTGGATCGATCCGGTGTCGATCGGCCGTGCCTACCCCACACGGTGCCCAGTAGTCACACTGGTCCAAGCTTCTGCTGCCGCTGCGACGATCGAAAAGAGATCACCCGTGAGCACGCAGACGAGTGCCAGCCACGAGACAGCCTGGACCAGCGGAGTGAGCGAGACCATCGAATAATTACCGGACACAACTTCTGCCGTCGAGGCGGCGATCGACAAGAGTACCGAGGCCGAGCTGACGAAGCACGCCGCCGAGGCCCTGGGCGCAGCGGCCTGAGCAGAAAAAAGGGCAGGAGCCAACCAAAAGATACCGATACCTCCACTCCCCGAACCTCTGCTGGGGAGCGTTCTGACCAGAATGCTGGGGCGAATCCAGCCAGGGCGATGCGAACCTCCCAGGAGGCCCAACAGGGCGAAGTCGAGCGAAGGGCAGCGGTATCGGCACACGCTCCCCCTCTTGGAGGCCTGGAGAGCGGCCAACACCAACGCAGGGGCTTGCCTCCAGGAGGAAGAGGATCCTAGATCTCGGTGCTGGTGTGCTGGTGGTAACACTGCGGTCGCCTTGGAAGCAATAGTAGTACCTCCATCGCCGAGACTGGGATCTTCGGTGAAGGCGCACCGCCGCGTGCGTGTGGACCGCCAGCGTGGGCTCGGCGGCCTGCATCGCCTTCGTGCAGGTGTTCATGCTGCGCTGCGGCGTCCCGCTCGTCCCCGCGGAGGGAAGGAGAGAGGGAGGGAGGGAGGGAGGGAGGGAGGGAGGGAGGGAGGGAGGGAGGGAGGGAGGAGGGGGGGGAGGAGGAGGAGGAGGGAGGAGGAGGAGGAGGAGGAGGAGGAGGAGGAGGAGGAGGTTATCCCTCTTTGGAAGGGACACCGCCGATATTGGTGTTGGTGTCAACCTCTAGCCCTGCGACCCTCTGCGCGGCGACGTCGAGAGGGCAAACGGTGTCGTCGTGGACGACGGCGCCGCCGACGAGCAGCGGGCGCGCTCCGCGAGCGCGCAGCCGTCTGGACGGACCTGAGGGCGCCAGTGTTAAGTCGGGCGTGTCCCTCTACAGGGGGAGTATCCAAACATAGTCTAAAAAAATACCAAGGGGGACGATGATTTGACTATTTCTGACCGTTTGGGGAGTGTGTTTTTGGCTATGTTTCAGGCTTCGCCCAAAATCCGCCCGTAGGGGGGCATGCTCGACCTAACAACGCCAGTGGCGGCGCGCTCGAGGGCGTGATGCCGCAGGGGGGCGCCGAGCACAGGGGGCTGAGCGGCGTGCTGGCCGGCCTGCTGCTGGCCCGGCTCTCGGGCATGGCTGCCCTGGCCCACGGTGCCCCCGGCCTGTCCGGGGCGGCCCCCATGGGAGCGAGGAGCAGGCACCACTCTGACGCGACATGGCGTAGCGACCTCACGCGGTGGCTTGCGCGGGCCGCCGGCGCGGCACGCTGCATCAAAGACGGGGGCGCTTACGCGCCAAGTACCCCGCTGTCTTGCGTCGTGGAGGCAGAGCACCCTCCACGAGGCCTGGAGGTCTCCAGGGGGCTCCAAAAGAACGCGAAGCGCCGGGGATGTGTTTTGGCAACCTCCGAGGGTTCGATGCGTGCGGCGAGGCGCGAGGCAACCAGGCCAGACTCGTCGACAACCTCCAGGCGGCCGTCGGGGTGCTGCGCAGAAGAGGCTGGAGCTGGAGACTTCGACGTGGTCACCGACACCAAAGCAGGGGCTGTGCGTTCACCAGGGGAGGCTGATCCTAGCTTCAGGTGTTGGTGGCAATCTTCCGGCCACATAGGAAGCCGAAATATGACCAGCATCGCTGGGATCAGGATCCTGTTGCCTCGGTCGCGGCAGACTGGTGGTGCTGGTGTTGGTGTCAACCTCTAGGCCTCCGATGGAGAAGAGGTTCGGCGCGAAGGCCGCCGAGGCGCACGAGTACCCGAAGGCCGAGAATCACGACACAGTTGGAAGGACAGATCAAGTACAAGCCACGACCTGAACGCGGACACACCGGAGTCGGTCTTGGCGTCCACCTTGAGGTCGCGCCGTTTCCTGGCTCACAGGTCGGCGTCGACAGGATCCCGCTACATCCCCAGACCCCCGACGTCATTTTTTTTTTTTTTCATGACGTCGACCCCCAGAGGTCTCGACCCATTCCCCGAGACCAGTTTTTCACCCCGAATCACGTTTTTTCGAGGTCACGAGGCCCGGCGAGGGCACCCGGAGGCCGAAGACATTGTATATGAGAACTCCTGGGGTGGTTTTTGGCATGACTCGAGGGGGTCTTGGAGTCTCTTGGCCCCGGTCCTCGTGCCACTTCCCTCCCAATAGCAGTCCCGGCTGGCCAGGGCCCCCCGGGGCGGTCCCAGGCACCTCCGGAGCCCTGGAAAGCGCAGAGCGCAGAGCGCCGCCCGAGGCGGCGTCGGGGTGCGGCGCCCGCCCCGTGGAACTCGGTGGTCCGCCGGAGGCCAGCCCAGACTTCACAGCTGGGGCCTGTGGAGGCCTGCTGGGGCTACCGTCAGGTCCAGAACCCCTCGGGCAATGAGGAACTCATGACGGGAGGTCTGTTCGCGATCGTCGGCCTCGGGGGGTCATCGCCGGGCCTCGGGTCCGTGCACTAACGACTGGGGATGAAACGCCAGTCCAGGGGAATGGGTCGAGACCTCCAGGGGCCGACGTGATGAAAAAATCATGACGTCGGGGGTCCCGGGGTCGGGCATGTCCTCCTACAGGCGGATCTTGGAAGAAAGCTCGGACATGGTCAAACATGGCCAAACAATCGTCTGACTATTATCGAGCACGCCTCCCGTAGAAGGACATGCTCGACTCACGACTACAGCGGCGGGGGGGCCTGTCTGCGCGCAGCCCGAAGCCTTACCGCTTCCCGTGCACGTT